GCTGCTACTCCAGATCGCGGACACCGCAAATTCGCGTTCCACGATGCGATAAACACAGGGGAATTCGCTATGAACTTCTGTGTCACGGGAAAGGATACCGGAGGTTGCGGACGCAGCAGATTCGCATTTTACCGTTGGAAGGACCCGCTGAAACCCACCGAGAACTCGCATCTCACGCGAACGAATACCGCAAATCGCGGACGCAGCAGATTCAAGTTGTATGGTGCAATAAACGCACGGGAAACCGCTACAAAATTGCCTGTTACGGGAACCGATATGGTTGCGCGCAGATCGCGGACAGAAACGAGAGAATCCGCTACGAACAATTATGCCACAGGAACGAATACTGCAGATCGCGGACGCAGCAGAATCGTATTTCACGATGCAATATACACGCTGGATTAAGTCGCGTGTTACGGGAATCGATATCGCGCGCGCAGGTCGCAGAAAGAAAAAACAGACGAGCGCGGGAATCCACTAAAAAGTGTCATTTCACAGAACGGATACCGCAGATCCCGGATGCGTGCAGCAGATTCGGAAAAAACTAGCGTGTTACGGGTAGCCGATACCGAGCGCGCAAATCGCAGAAAAAACGCGGAAACCCGCTATGAACTCGCTTATTAGACGTACCGGTGCAGCAGTTCGCGCGGCGGATGGGATTCCCGTCGGACACGGTGGCGGATCCAAGGGGGGCGGGGGGGGGGGGGGGGGGGGGGGGGGGGGGGGGGGGGGACGGCCGCCACCCCCCCCCCCAAACAAAGTTGACCCCCCTCCCTCCCCCTTCTCGGAGGGCAATTTGACATGGGTGGACCCCCCTTGCACAAGAAGGAATGGGAGAATAGTATCCTTAAAAATCCCCCCCCCCCAAAAACAAAAAAAACAAAAAAAAAAACGGAGTTCTGGATCCGCCCCTGGTCGGACATCGAGTAACGGGGATGGGCGATGTTTCGGAAATTTTATGTTAGAGATATTTAGCCAGAGAAATAGGATGGGCGATCTCTCGGGGGCGGGCGTTCTC